TGTGTTACTATATTTGTCAAGTGACTCATGAGAATGATTTAGATAACCCCAGATAATGCATTGATTCCCATTTCACTTGACAAAAATATATAATATTCAACAACCTGAGTGGAAATGCCGCCGCAGTAACACTAAACAGTCTTGGTGGTCAAACTCTGAAGCTAAACAGCAAAAGAGATGTGGAGAGACACGTCCTTCAGTGCCCAAACAGCGAGCAGTCGGGCAATGCACAGGTCTGTCAGAGAGATGTCCAACCATGCCTCCCTCAGAGCCTGGAAACCTGTGTCTGTCTGCCTGTGCGTGCATGTGCGTGTCTGCCATTCAGTGTTTGTGGGCTCGACTGTTTATCCTGTACCACCAGCTCCCAGGCCTGATGGGCATGTTTGCCTTCTGGCCTGTTGCACAGTCATACTGAAAGCTAATTGCTGATGATTTTTGGGCAAAACTGATGTAACAGCCTGAGCCAAATGTGTTTAACTTGATTGAGATTAACATCCCTTTAACTCACTGGTAATACGTGATGTAGCAGCTCTCTAGCTCATCCTGAATAACAATGCATGAATGAGTGAACACTGGATGATGGGGAGTGACAGATTGAAATTTTTGTATTTAGATTTTGTGCATTTCTGGGTGAAATGTACACACACTACTCTGTTACAAACATACCCTAGGTTTCAGCCAATTTCATTAGTATTAGCTACAGAGAAATGAAAGTTTGAAGTTATGATAAGCTGGTCTTTGGTGACTTTGCTCGGCTTTCTGTGGCCCTGCGTCCTCATGGAGAATGTAATTATTTTCCTTTTAAACCAGAGAAAACGGAAGAGTTATTTCTGGCATCAGGGGTCAGGAAGTAACAGGCTGCAGTATTTTCAAAGTCTGGATGCACATGAAACTCCCTGAGGAATCGTCAGGGCAATAAATTTGCTTCTTTGTGGGGCTGTCCCAAATGGCAGTTTTTGGGCTCTGGATATTCAGTGGTGATAATCAGCAAATATTTGAATATTGGGTGATGGGCTGACATTGTGCTGCAGCCCATCTGGCAGTACTTTGGGTTAAAAACAAAACAAAAGTCTAATGAGAGTTATTATGAAATATTTAACGTAACAAATGAACAGAGGCCGGATCTTCATAAACCTTTGCGTGTATGCAGATGCCGTATTTCCACTATCAGAAGCTAACGAGCGGTACACCCCGTACTTTCCTTAACCATCACCAACCTTAGCTTCTGGGGCTGATGTGGACCATCCCGCTTTGTTTTTCCACTGTATTTTCTCTCTCTGTCTCTGTTTAGAGGAGGGAGGGGCTGCTCCCCTCTCACAAATGAAGTCAGTTATGTGTTTATATATGGTGCTTATAATGTGAATGCTTGAGGTTTGAGGACTCTGACATTTAACCAGTCACTGGCAACTGCTCTGCACGCTTTAGGACCCCCATTACATTACTGTGGATCATATTCACTTCTCTTTGTGGTCATTTTGTGTCTGTTGTAGTGTTTTTTTTGACCACCGGAACTTTACAAGACATTACCTGGAGCTTCCCATACTCGTAATCCAGCGAGCTGATGTGGCCTGTTCACCTTTGCTTTTCCTCTGCTTTTTCCACTGTGTCAATTACTATTTAGATGAGGGTGGGGCAGAACACAAACTTGCAAAAATGTGATGTTTGCTGCTTTCCCTCGTGGCCCACTCACTGAAGTCCCTGCTTTACCTCTAAACCAGTGAGCACATGTTCACACCTCATCCCTGTAATGCTGAAATATGAGAACACTGCTCTTTATCCGGTCAGGGCTGACAGCCCTGCGAACACCCACACCCTCATCCTTCACTCTCCTTGGTACTTGATTTAGTACTTCCTCCTGAGGGTGCCATCATTTAGCTCCAGGAGCTCGCATCCAGAGCAGGCAGAGGGCAGTGGAAATGAAAGCCGAACCTGTAGGGACCCCATTACAGGTCAGTAGGTTCCTAAAGTAGAAAAGACCAGTGAGTGGTCTTTTTGTCTCTTTGCAGTTGTCTGACCATCCAACAAGAATGCTAATAATAATTTTAAACACAGGGTCTAGCAGAAGGGCCACCAGCCCCCTTGGCCCCCGCTCCTGTGCCTGGTAAGCTTATTCAGTAATCCTATATTTCCTATAATGCACACTGGTGAGTACAATAGCTTGTGTAATGAATCAAATGACACTGTGGTCAACACCATCCAGTGGTTTAAGGCAGCGTGAACATACAGAATCTTTCCATGATCCAGTGTGGACAGTATTTTGAACTGAAAGATGCTTTTTTCCGTCTTCAAAATGAGAAACAAGCTCTGTTTCAGTACAAGAAACCAATGGGTTTTGTAGGACATTTTGCTAGTTATGTAATGCTGGACTAATTATTGATTACACCTCCATTTAGAGCATAGATTGGACTTGCAACTCCAGCACTTGTGAAATGTTTGGAACAAGTTTGAAATTAAACACAAAGTGTCCCGTAGACTGGAGAAGACCTGGTTTGTGGTCTTTCTCTGTCTTTGGCCTTTGTTGTTTACTTCTGAGGAACTCCCCAAGTATGAAATAAACTGGATCCGGTGGGACGTCAGTGTTTAGGACTTTAGAGCTCCTCTTTTATGTTCTGCCAGAATCTCTGTGGTACTGGACAATCCCAGAAGATGTGGGAATGATCCCCACACAGTCCACATTCTCCTTTATCAAATCCTAGAAAAAAAATCCTAAAGAAATCTACTTTTCCTCTTGGTGAAATTCTCTCCAATATTGACTACTCATGACTTCATGACAACCAAGCACACACATCCTTCCACATTCTGTCCTCAACAGATTAATTTCAACTAAAAATCTGACCCAGATTTTGATGCCAACTTTTCGAGTTACTGATATTCTGACACATTCAGAAAGGTGCTGAGGTTCGATGCCAAGCCGCGGTTGTCAGAGCTGACTCTGCCTGTCGCTGACATCACTCACATCATCTGTCCGGTTATTCATCTGCTTCCTCCCCGGCTGAAGTCAAAGGACTCTCTGTTCAGCTGGGGCTTCCAGATGGGGCTGGCTGGACTGACTCAAGGCCTGTGGATCCAGCAGAGTTACAGCCTTGTCCCTATGACTTCACCACTGATGAAATGTGGAGTTTGATATTAGCATCAGATGTGAAACAGGCTGAGAAGGTCATAAACCTCAGGGGCAACCAAAGCATCAATCTGTTCCTCCTTCAGACATCACAGAAATCCACAACTCTGTCTGCCTGGATTCTGCTCAGCTGAGCGACCTGCAGGCAGCGCTGGAAGAAGTCTGCATCATTTACTTCAACAAATGTTGTAATACAACTGTGTGAAAATACTCCCTTGCAAGTACAAGTTCAAATCTGACCTAATTATCACCAGCTAAATTTACTTAAAGTATTAAAAGTACTTATTTTAAAGAACACTGGCCCCTAAACTAGACTATTAATGTAGTGTATCAATGTGTCTTTTACTCTTGTAGCTGCTCAAGGTGGAGCTAGTTTTAGCTCCATCTGTAGAAGTAGTTCTTAACTACCGTATGCAGTGCCACAGCGATTAAATCAATAAGCAATTCATTGCAGAATGCACTGGGTTGCTGCATTTTCCCATATCTGAGAATTTATGCTTTTCTGTGTCATATTCGATAATACTTTTGAGTTCTGACCTGTTGATGAGACCAAACAAAAACATTCAGATGTCCTCTTGTGGTCTAGAAAATGAGAACAGGACTTTTTCACTATTTTATAGCATTTTAAGACAAAGTACAGTTTCGAGGTATCTGTACTTCACTTGAGTATTTTCTTTTTTTGCTACTTCATACTTACACTTACCTGTACTACATACAATATTGTACTTTTTACTGCACTACATATATTTGATAACTTTCATTCCTTTTCAGAATCATATGAATAAAACAGTGTTTTATTATAAGGGTCCAGGAGCCAGAGGGGCTGGTATAATTCTTAGTAATGTCTCACTGTGTGTTTTTATGTACAATTTATTCTGAAAATTAGCTACAACTGTCAAATACATTGGAGCAAAAAGTACAGTACTTTGCTCTGGAGTGCTGAGGTCCACAAGTATCAATAAGCATAAAATGAATATACTCAAGTCAAGTACAAGTACCTCAAAAGTGTCCTTATGTTCAGTAGGAGTAAATGTACTTAGCTGCATTGCGGCACTTCACAGAAAGGTGAAAATTAACCTGAGGTGGAGATGCTCCTGCTCAGCAGTATGTTAAGACATGAAAGGTAATGAGCCCCTAAACATGATCCTCACTTCCCTACCCAGTGGCTGGGGCCAGTCATCTGCAACCTGAGCGCAGGTGAGGTCGAAGATGATGTCACCATGATGTCAGTTGTTAGCCTGTAGGTGAGGAGCCTTTCCAGCCTAAACTAAACCTAAACCCAAACTAGTTCATGTACAGGGAGAGGGCTTGTGGTGCAAATCACTGTTCCTGGAGACTTTCTTGCGGTTTCCTCCTTGTGCATTGAAGCTCGTTCTCATGAGGGAAAACTAATCCTTAAGGATGTTTTAATTGCATGTTAGTGTATGAAGCCCATGCAGCAGCGTCACACAAAAACAATGGATCCCATATGTCACACGTTTCTTTCAGTTTGTACAGCTACTGTACGTCTACTCTGCACCACAAAACAAATACTGAGATTGTGGCATTTAAAATTACGCACATGAGACACCTCTAAAAAGAAATGATGGATTATCAGCAGGTGTGTGTCGAACCCGTGCGGCCGTGGAGGATGCAGGGAAGGTACTGACAGGTCTGTGAACAACCAGTGGCAAACAGCTAAATTATCTGCTGATTTATCTGCCAACGAGATTCCAATACAAATGTTGGCACTATGCGTCTTGGAGTATGCTGGTACACAATTACTTGGCCATCTGTTCTGACTACAGGCTTTCATTCCGTTGAGAGGGGTTCACAGGTAAAATGGTGCCAAAGCAACTGGTACAAAAAAGTACTGCCTCCGCGTCAGGTTAAGATTTCTTACCTTAATGATACTGCTCCGGCGTGGGGCTGCCTTCACCGACTCCAGGAGATTAGTGTCAGTGTCCTGGCCACCACCGGGAAGGATGACTCCGCTGCGCCGGCCGCGGGACGCTCTCGGTGGGATGCAGTCAGGCGCTCCGTCGCTACACAGCCCGTCTCCATACCCATCACGCTCAGACATTTCGATGACAAGTAGGGGTCGATTATGGAAAAGCAAAAATCAATCAAATCGTCGGATCTGAGCCGATTAAAGTTTGACTTGACTGTGCGCGGGTGCCATTTAAAGGAGAAACTGGATCCTGACGCATCAGCCGTTCAGCAGCAGCTTTGTCACTCCCGAGAAAACTAATCACCCTTGTTTCGTTAATTATGAACAGATTCTCATGGTCACTGAGCAGCAAGCCGTGTTGGCTCAGGCTACGAGTCCTTTCCCGCTCCACCGAAACGACTCACTGTTGAAATCAATGCATCGCACGCAGGTACAATCTCGGCTTGGATTAAAAATGGACTGGTGCGCTCCCCGGAGACGCGCAACAAGTCTTCGTCGTAGCCAGGCTCACTCGTCTCGAGGTGGTCGGGGCATCCATAAAACGCTCGAAGCCTCAGTGTGTGACAAAGAAATACTGAAAGCGAGGTTGTGTGCGTGTTGAACGGGGTTTGAAAACACTCTGGCGCCGGCTCCAAGGATACCCGAAACACATCGATGCCAAAGTGCACAAAGGAGCGAACTTGCGCTGCGGTTGCCGTCAAACGCAGAGAGGATCCGCTCCCCCGGCACCGCGGAGCACACTCCTCAGGTTAAACACAACCACTGCCGCTCTCTCCATTGGACTCAGAGCAACAACAGCCGACTTTTGAAGAGAACAGGGAACACAGCTGACAGTCGAACCGCCTCTATCCCGCCACTCCTCCCTTCACCTCCTCCACCCAGCTCCTCCCATGCTGCTCGAAATCATGATTGACGTGCGGAGTAGCCAATGTGCATGACCACAGGATGATGTGAAACAAGAGAGAGCGTCTGATAGGTGGACTGTCGACTCCTAGGAACCCAGAGAGCCTTCACTTTTTAAGCACCACAGACCACGCACTGGGAACCAGGCGTGGGAGGGGTAGGTATATAGGTGTACAACTACAGGGAACCAGCCTGTAGCTGTTCTGATGATCGTGCAACAGGTTTCAAGCAGAAAAGCCAAACGCTGTGATCGTTCACGCTTCGAAAAGTTGAAACTTTTGTTGCTTTTCTGTTTCATCTTAAACGAAACATTGTAATGTTGACTGTTGCTTGGTCAAAAAAGCCCTCATTGCAAATAAGGTTGGACTTTTATTTTACTGTTTTCTTTTGTTTTGTAAAACAAATTACTAGGCTCTAATACATGCAATTAAAATTAATTAATTGTTAGTTGCAGTCCCAGTATAAAGCAAAAAACTGAAAAACATCAAATAAAAACAAACTCCCACGATGTGTTTCTACTGCTGCCTTAACATATACACAATACACCAAAGATGTTGGGTAAATTATACAAAATATTAAAAAGATTTGGTCATCTGGTGACCAAATAGCATCACCAGAGAAACTTCCTTTGACTGTAAGCAGTTGTTCACAACACAGTGAGTTACACAAAGCATCAGACCTTTCAAGGGCAGCTCTGCAACATTTGTTTAAAAAAATACCACAGAGCCACATTGTCTTCCCTGATGTTTCCTGAAAGAGCATACACTTATCTCTGATGTCAAAGTACTCAGAGGTTAGTCTTGGAAGTAAAGGGGTAAAGAGTATCATGAGAACAGTGAGAATCCTTCTGCTACAGCTATCCCAAAAGGACCAGGTATCTACACTTGTGTGTTGTATGCTTGCTTTCAATTAGCATTTTCATGTTTTGTCTATTTGTGTGCAGTGTTAAAAGCACCTTAAATTGGCTTTGGTGAATGAAAATGTGCCGTATAAATAAATTTGCCTTGCTATGTCTTCACGTTCCCAGGATTGTTCAGCTGGAGCTGCTTCAGATGGGTAGGCAGTGTGGAGGTATTATAAAAGTGTGATACATTATTCATTGTTATGGCTAAATTGCCTTTTCCTTCTTGGGGCCCCTTCCAGAGAGGTCAGAGGTAAGGGTCAAAGACACAGCAGCATCTCTGGAGCCAAAGGGATTCAGGCTACATCCACATCACAGCTGTAGTTAACCAAATCTGTAGTTTCTCTCCAGTGACTCAGACCTGGTGTGTCCACAGCAGTGTGAACAGACCAAACCAGATGTAATTAGATCAGATCTGGGCCACCTGCGTATGTGCTCATACATCCAATTCCTCTCCAACTTCTGACTGAGCGAGCGCTGTCAGAACTATCAGATCAGAATTCATGTGGTTGTTTTATAACGTCTCCTCCTCTGCACATACGGCCTGTCGTCATCATTCAGTGTCGGCCCCTCACAGACTGGTAACAATAAACATGGGGGAGAGCGACAGCATGACGGGGTCAGTGGAGACATCAGGAGGTGGTGGACATTTATGGAGAAGCTTTTGATCAGGCCAAACTGGAAGGAACATATCATAACCCAGCAGATTGGGAGGAAACTGGGCCATTTGACCGTCACACATGTGACCTGGTTGTTATTCTTGTGCACACGTGGCTCACATTTCAGTTACACCAGTACATGTGTGGCAGTTTAGGAGCTCAACGGTGTTCACACCAGAACTGGATACACACGCGGATGCGAAGCATTAGAACTTACTAAAATATATACATTTAGAAAGTAATTATGATGGTTAATTTATGATGTCATCCCTTCATACACAAACATGCATTATGCTAAACACAAAGTTTGATAACGAGGGGTCACTGACTGGTCTGATGGGGTTGACCATGATGTGAACCAGATGCTGTAGCTTTCCCAGTCACCAGGTCTCAGCCCAGTTGAACAGCTATGGGAGATGTTGGAGCAATGTGTTAGACAGCGTCTCCACCACCATCATCAAAATACCACATGAGGGAACATCTGCTGGAAGAACGATGTTCATCCCTCCAAGAGACTCAGAGACTTGAGGAGTCAGTGCCAAGGTGAAGCTCTTCTGGTGGCACGTGGTGGCCCAGCACCTTACTAAGATGTTACAGTCAGTAATGTAACATCTGGTTTAAAATCGCTTCATATGAACATAACTGGAGCATGATGAGCAGTGCTGATGAAGCTGTCCTTGAGCTTGTCTGATAGGTTTGTGGGGGGGGGGTCAGACTAAAAATGCTGGGAACCATTGCTCTAAAATAATATCATGCAAAATACAGAACTGTACAGAAAGAATATTAATGTTTCAACGTATTATCATGATTTGAAATAATAGACCATCTCACAACGCCAGCATGAAGGTCAGTGTTCTGGAAAGTAAAATCTCACACAAACACTGAGCAGCATTTTCATGTAGTGGAAACAGTTGAGACTCACTGACTCCCCTAAATAGCCTGAATTATTTTTCTAAAGGTGTTCCTGGCGGAGCAGATACGAGGGCAATATGAATGTATGTGTTTGGACCTTGAGCCACACAGCTGTGGAATGTGGTCAGCTGGTGATACTTATTAGCACAAGAAGCTCAGCAGTCACATGTCTCTGTGAGATTTCTGAAACCAGTGTTCATACAATAACAGAACTGTGCGTCATTAAAGCCAAGTATAGAGTCTGACGACCACTTGCTGCATTACACATGTACTTGACAGTTAATACTTAAATTCTTTCCAGGTACTTTATGTTTATTTTGTAGTATTTTATTATTTTTATTTATTAGTTTTTTACCTTATTTCTAGCCCAACTACATGAATTATGGTCTTAGCTTCCTTTCTCTGAATCAGCATCTGTGTTAGCAATATAGCCTATATGCTAAAGGTTGTTTTTTTTTTTTGAGATTATTGGGAAATAAACAATGTGGGAATCTAGCTTGTCACACCTTAAAGTAAAAGTAGAAAAGTTTAACAAAATGGGCTAATTTGCTTTCTTGCCAAATGTAAGATGAGGGAGTTTTTTGTGATATCCATGTTTCCTTGTATGTAAAGGCCCTGCACACAGGTGTTTTCAAATACTATGGATAATTAGTCGTTGAATTAATTGCAGTAATAATGATGTAAATATTTTTTCCTAGCAGGTGCTTAACATTAACATGGAGTAAAGGAGCTCCCACACAGTCCTGAGTGGGGGTCTAATCGTGCCACAAAAGTCAAAACACCTGTGTGAGCAAACTACTGGAATGTTGAAGGTTTAAATAAAACATATCAGTGCTTCTTCCATTCTGACTCTTAATGTACTTCCAGCTCAGTCAAGTGAGCTCTGCTGGGGATACCTGGTAGGCTTCTGCTCTTCTTGTACTCTTTCAAGTAGTGGGGTATGTCTCCCATGCCATATATAAGACATCAAGATGGGTGGCACATGAAAAACAAACATAAACTGCCACCATGAGTGTCCCAAGCAGCCTCACTGCTCCTGCTGGAAGTATGAACACCTTTCCTCTAAAAATGTTCCCTCATTTGGTGTTTTGAAAATGTTGCTCACCATTTTCAAATATAACTGTAGAAGCTACAGTTATTCATATGAAGTTTGACTTTTACGTCTGTGAATAACTGAAGTTTTCAAAACAATGCTAACAGCTTCTGAACACAATACAGATTTCTGCAGACCCCTCACACCCTGGACACAAACAGTCTGAACTCCTCCCCTCTGGATGGCGCTAAAGGTCACTATACGCCAAGACAACCAGGCACAAGGCCAGTACCTTTCCTTGGGTCATCACTCTGATTAACACTAACAGAATGACAGCCCTCAGTGCAGTAACTGCATCTAAACAGTGTATTTACAGTGTATATTTCTATATTTATAAGTACTTTATTTTTTTCCTGTTGTTCATATCCTTTTCTTATTTGCACATTTTTTCTTTTATTTTCTGTTCTCTCAGTCCTATCTTGTTCACTCTTCTACTCATTGCCTTATTGAAGAACACTGTACACACACACTGAGAGCCACTGTACCAGAGGGAAATTCTTCATATCTCTAACACACCTGGCCAATAAAGCTGATTCTGAAACAGTCTACATTCATAAATATGAGTCAATGCAACAAAATGCTAATCATGCAAATGCTGTTTATTTTAATCAACATTACATCCATCCATTTTCTGCCGCTTATCCGGGGCTGGGTCGCAGTGGTAGCAGGTTCAGTAGGGCAGTCCAGATGCCCCTCCAGCATGTTCTGGGTCTACCCTGGGGTCTCCTACCAGATGGACATGCCCCGGAGTGTTCTTGAAAAAGTTTTTTCAGGGTCAATGCCATGAAGGCACCCTGGAGGCATCCTAATAAGATGCTTTCAGTGGCTCCAAATGTGTTCAGTTCCAGATCCCGTCCCTCAAAATCTATTAAGTTCTGTAGCAAATCACTTGCCTCATATCGTCCATTGGACATGCTTGATTGATGTGAAAGAGCAGCAGTTCTACTCTGGAGGGATTAGGGGTAGGAGTAGGGAGACTGAGGACACAAAGCTGCAGAGGGTTGTTTATGACCCTCCACTGTGGTGGTGGAGACTAGCATTGGAGAAGGAAATGATAGGGTGTGACAGGAGCTTGACGTGACAGCAAGGAAGTTGTACGGAGACATCTGGAGTATGAGGAAGGAGAGGCAGGGCTTTGTCTGATTGTCAGGCTAGAAGGAGTTCAAGGAAGCGTGAACAGGTTCTTGCACACTGTCAGGTGACTGAGGAGTGTGTGCCAGGGCTTTTTCCATTCATCAGGCGGTGGAACATCGAACCACCAATATGGTCTCTTTGGTGGAGGAAGTGCATGAGGGCTCAGGGGAGGCTTTGGCCTGTACAGATCACTCAGAGGTGCCTTGCAACAACCCCCTTAAGGCAACCACCCCAAACACTGTAGCAA